TATATAAATGCATATTAAAAACTACTAATTATACTATTCTTAAATAAATATTTAAATTAGTACTTTATTAATATTAATAATCTATCTTATTAGTCGCAATTATTTTACTTACCTCCATAACCACCAGGTCTAGAGGGCCCATTACTACGACCAGACCCAGAACTGGGTTGTTGACGATAATCTCTTGCACCAAAGCCGCCACCACTGAAGCGCCCTTTGGTGCCACCGCCACCACCACCACCACCACCACCACCACCGCCGCCGCCGCCGCCACCGCCTGGTCGTCGAGATCCACCTCCGGAATATCTCGCTTCAGTATACATATCATCCAACCAGGGTGGAAGTTCCTGATTGGCTTCGATAAGCAGTGATACCAAGTCACGTACCAAATTATGATTCTTATGATTGAAGAATGATGTGGCTAAACCTGAATTATAAAACAAGACCTAGTGTGATGTTCTTGTTCTTTTTGGATTGCTAGCAACAACTCCAAAATGAAACAAACCTAAATTGCCCATACGACCGGTACGACCGATACGATGAACATATTCTTCAACATCACCAGGCAAATCAAAATTAATGACATGCTTAACGTGGGGTATATCGAGACCACGTGCTGCCACTGCAGTAGCGACCAAAATCGGTGCTTTGCCCGCACGGAACCGACGCAATGCTTCCTCTCGCTCGCGTTGAGTTCTATCACCGTGAATGCTTGTAACCGGGTATCCCATTGAGGCCAAGTATTCTTCGAGCATGTCGGCACCTTTTTTAGTCTCCACGAACACTAGGGTGAGTGATTCAGCAGCTGCGCAATACAAGTATAAAATTAATAAAATTAATTAAAACCGACAATTTGGTGTTAATTTGAGTCTCGGCTACAACTTACTAGGATCTGAAAAGTTGCTAGCTTGTAGTAAATCAAGTAGGTATGAACGTTTGTCATGTTCCTCTACCCATACTATCTTCTGTGTAATATTCTCGGAAGTCGATCCCACGCGACCAACTGCCAAGAAAATGTAGTTGCTGAGGAAATCTCTGGCTAACATTTGAATCTCTTTTGGGAAAGTAGCAGAGAACATGAGAGTCTGTCTCTCTCCAGTCGGTGGCATGTTATCCTCTTGAACGATACGTCTTATTTGCGGTTCAAAACCCATATCCAACATGCGATCTGCTTCATCGAGTACCAAGAATCTAGAAGTATAAATAAATAATAACCGTACTATTCTTAAGTCGATCATTGCGTGACGTGAACTTACCGGCAATTATGCAAGCCAATTTTACCACGTCCCAGCATGTCCACCAGACGCCCAGGCGTCGCCACAAGTAGGTGACAACCGCGATCTAACTCGCGCATTTGATCTACTATGTTAGAACCACCATATACGACCGCGGGACGCATACGCGATCGGTATGCAAACTTCCGTGCTTCGTCGTATATCTGTGTAGCAAGCTCTCTCGTGGGAGCCAACACTAAACCTAACGGATACTGTTTACGCCTGCCGGAGGAGTTTGCTTGTGGTGGTGGTGGTCGCGGTCCGCTCTCATAAATCTGATTCAGTATTGGCACTAAGAAGGCCGCTGTTTTACCGGACCCGGTTTGAGCGCAGGCCATCACGTCACGGCGTTCGATAATGATCGGTATCGCATACTTCTGTACCGGTGTAGGCTTATCGTATCCTGCCAAGGCGATGCTATTCTTTATTATCTCTGTCAGCTTAACCTCGTCAAACTGAAAAATTAGAAAACGAACAAATTAGAGAGTAGGAGAGAGACACACAAGTGTTCTATAAAGTCCCATGTATATATATCGTACTCACAGATGTGATGTGTGGTGGTATGTTCTCACCGGTAGCCTCAACTGGGATATCCTCATATTTGCTAAAATTGATCCCAGTATTGCCAGAGCCAAACAGCTCCAGCTCCAATCGCTCATCCCTGGCAGTGGGGATCGTCCAGTCGACCTCGCCTCTACCGCCTCTTCCGCCTCTGTCGTCGCCCCATCTTCCTCCGCCCATTCTGTCATTTCTGTTATCTTGCCAGCGATCATTTCTAATAGGCTCCTGCCAGCGATCATTGCCGCTAATTGGTCGATCGCGTTCGGAGTTGGAGTATCTATAATCTCTTCCATTTTCCTGACTGCGCCTATTGCGCCCACCGAAGCTTCCGAAGTTCGCAAAATCAACGTCGCGAGGACTCCGCGAGTCTCGATAACCGCCCCTACCCCTATCTCGATCACGGTCTCTTTCTCGGTCGCGATCGCGATCTCCTCCTCTATCTCTATCTCCAAATGGTCTAGAGTTGGAAGAGTAATTTAAATCCGAGGGTGGATTACCTGTTAAAAAAAAAATTAAACATTTATATACTCTTTATATTTATCCTGCTTTGTAATGACTGCTGTTAGCAAAAGAGTAGATTTACATATATAACTATTGTAAAATTCTTTAATATAATTGCTTCTTGCTCCTAGTTTCACACTGAATCTAAATATACATAAACTAGTCATATTAGGTGTTTTCTATTTAGTGATACAAATTGACACAAACATCATTCTATCTTGACATTCAGAGAACAATAAAGATAAAATGACACTTTTGTCAACTTGTGTTAACAATAAATAGAAAACACTATAAAGAATCACACAATAATCACAGCAGATAAACCACTTTATCTGCTGAAGTTTATAAAACTAAGATTAAAACAGTCTGCTGGCCAGGATATGTTTGTCAGTCGCGACATGTCAATCTATTGCATTATTCAATACTCTGCCATAGAACTATAGACAATCAGGAGCATGAATTTTTTCAGTAAAAACTTCTCCATACTCCAGCTTAAAAATTAGCAACTTCGACAAATTCCTATACTCACTCGCAGCTTTATGACGAAGATGCGGTGGAACGTAGCGGCCCCCACTTGGTTGGCGGGAGCCCTGCAAGTCCAGACCAGCTAGCTGCGGGAGAACAGAAAGGCTCAGGTTAGACATTTTATATTGCAGACTGCAACCGCGTGGTATTCGCGCGGATAAAAGTCGTTATCGTCCGATCCGACGATGAGTCATTTCGATCGGGTTCTGTGAAATTCTGACTTCTAGCAGGGGGGGGGGGACCCTCCTCTGCCCCTGCTACCGCGAGCAATCCTCTCACGGGAACGAGCCGAAGGAAGCGCAAGGAGAAAGAGAGAGCGAGCGCGTCGCGACACGAGGCATGCCGTTCCCGGAATCGCTTGCCGCCATTATACATAGCGTACGTCACGAGCGGGTCGACGAGTGACGACGGCCCATGATGCTCTCTCTATCTCTATCTATCTATCTATCTATCTTTCTCTCTCTATCTCTTTCTCTCCCTCCCTCATCCTCTCTTCGATCGGATAAAGGAAATTCCCTTCGGAATTCGGAACGTTCTCCGGCGAGAACGGGTTTACGTCGGGAAAACCCACAGATCACGTTAGAATGCAGGATCGTGCAAAAGTGTGCAAAAATAAAAAAGGAATGGGAGGGAAAAAATCGGGGAACGCTTCCCCGAGAACAATGCTTCCTGCGGTTCTTTTCACGTCCCTTTTTTTTCTTACCTGCTGCTCTAGACCTGATCCATTCTGGTTGGCTGCATTACTCATATTACTCCGCCTCGGTGCGTAGTTTTCGCAGCTCTGTCGCTTGAAGCCCTTTTAGCTTTAGCTCGTCTCGTCTCTTCTCTCTCTCTCTCGCTCTCTTTCTCTCTCTCTCACACACACACACTCGAGTCGAAAAAATTTCCAACGCGTCCCAACGCGCTATCTCTGTCTTTTTCTCGTTTTCTCGCCCTCGATCTCTTTGTCGTCTCGTGGACTGTATAACGCCTCGCCAGGCGATGATAGATTCGCTATCCTCGCGATTCGGCCCGATTCTTTATCAGTTTATCGAAAAAACGGCGCGAGTCGGTTAAGTCTTTCAACACGATACGAAGGAATCCCAGAGGCAACTGGCGTGATTGCTAGAAAAGCGCGAGAGGCCCTTGGCCGCACTCGACGTTGACGCAACGAAAATGGCCGAGAGAAAATGACCGAATTGCCAAAATGGTGACGGCACGATTTCCGCCGGATGTCAGGGGCGACGCAACGCGGCGTGTTCGGGAAGAGAACCCCGCTAAAGATAAAAAAAAGAAAAAAACGTCACGCGAAAATTCGAAAATCTATGATAGGAATATTATTAATTATTATACGACGCAGACGACGTAAATTGATTGAAAGCACAGTTGGTAATTCAATATTCATGTTATCAAACATTCTCAAATTGAAATTCGCAAATAGATAATTTGTTTTTAATGTTGAGCAGAGATTAGAATTTTTTTGATGCAGATAAGAATGTTACTAATATCAATATAAGTTACGAGTCTGTCTCAATAGATATATATATATATGTACTAATATTTTCAAAATTAAATTATTTGTCACAGTCAGTGTTAATTCGATAAACTCAGTTTACTATATGTAAACATTGACTTTACTCAAATTAACACTTCGACTACTTCATGCACACATATATGTACTAAATTTCAAAGATTACGCAGAAGAAGCGTAATTTAAAGATTCCTACTTCTTTCTCTCACTATTATAAGATGGACTTCAGTTTGAGTATTAAATTATAACAAAAACAATTCTTATAACGATAATAATAAAAAATTTCAATAAAGATTTATAGCTTTTAAAGATATAAACAAGTCTCATCTTTCAGTTAAATTCTAAACAGGATGCCATCCAATAAAATGTAGATGCAGGAAGACAGTTTTGTCTTTCCCTTCGATTTTCAGTTTAGCTGTCTGAAATACTTCGTTAGAATTCGCAGAATCTGTTTAAGTGTATAGTAAATACAAGTTTGTATATTTTTCTTTATTATACAACATGTTTCCAAATATCAGCGTTTAATCTAATCGTCCTTTTTCGTGTCGGTCTTGCCTCCTCTAATTCTACCAGTACGACGAGCAGCAATAAGACCAATCTTGCGACCAGCACTGGTGCCACGCTTGACGGTGGACGCTTTACCAATATGCTGATGATTACCACCACCGTGAGGATGCTCCACAGGATTCATGGCAACACCACGAACCTGCAAAAATTAAAAATGTCTCAAACATGAAAAAAAACATAACATAAGCTCGATATAAAAGAGCTTTGCCTTAACTCAGTTAAAAAAAAAAATTCCACATGAATTTCTTCAGGTTTCAAATGTCTTAATTACCATCATTGAAAAAATTTAATTCTGTGTCATTATATAGCAACAATGTAAAACTCAAAGGATATACCTTAGGCCAGCAATTCCTCTTTGCCTTGTACTTGTGGTAAGCTCTACCAGCTTTAAGTATAGGCTTATCTATACGTCCACCACCAGCGACGATTCCAACCATTGCTCTGTTGTTGGAAGGAATGACTTTCTTTGCGCCAGAAGGTAACTTAACTCTCGTTTTCTTGGTGTCAGGATTGTGTGTTATGACTGTGGCGTAATTGCCAGAAGCTCTAGCTAATCGACCCCTGTCACCAGTCTTCTCCTCCAAGTTACAGACAATCGTACCTTCTGGCATCATGCCGACTGGCATGACATTTCCAATCTGGAGATTGGCTTAAAAAATTAAAAGCATTATATATTTTTATTAATAAAAATTAATATGCAATAAATCAAATACTTATAAATGACAGTAGTTACTTTAGATCAGGCCTGTCCAATTTGAATTCCAGAGCCAAAACTCAAAGCCATCGATGCAAAAAAATTCTTCACAATGTGGATTTCAGGGACTGTCAAATATTGATATGCATTTAAGTGACGCTTATCAACAGTTTACAGTTCCTAAAATCTTACATTAAATTTTTTTACATTGGTGGCTTTGCGTTTTGGCTCCAAAGTTCAAATTAGACAGGCCTCTTTTAGATATAGCATCAATTTGTTTTTAAAGCATCAATTGATTTTTATCGCATTTAATATTATTCATTTAGAAATTAATGTTACATACCTTTCTTTCCACAGTATAAAAATTGGCCAGTGTACATTCCCTCAGGTGCAATAAATAATTCTTTACGTGTTTTGAACTTGTAAGGGTCACGGAAATGCACCACAGCTAACGGCGCTCCACGACCAGGATCATGAATAATGTCCTAAACAAAAAAAGAAGTGTGCCTCTTAAATAATTTATTAAACTAATTAAAAATTTTTTGTAACACAAAAAATCTTCAGAAAGAGCCTCTAATTTAACGTCATCTTATCAATCAGATGTAAGTATGTTGGATATCATCATGAATATAAGATCTAAATAAAAAAATTCAGACAAACTCGAATGAATCTAGCTAAATTCTACAATTGTGTCAATTGGAATAGTGTCCCGAATAGAATAAGTGGTTACAAACCTTCACGACACCCTTGATGAATCCATGTCTTTCGGAGAAGTCTAAAGATCGCAGCTTTGGTGCTCCCTTTCTCCTCTTGGTATGGGATCGGAAGACGGATCCCGCACCTTTACGCTGCGCACGAATTACTCTACCCATGGCTCAAATCTGAAAAGAAACCACGTTAATTATCATGCATCTAACCACGATAACACTCGCAACATCACGCTCGTCACGTTGCGGATTTCGTTGGCGCATCTTAACCTCGCGATGCTGCTCGAGATAAGAGTATGTTCTCATTTCGCGAAAATATCAAGTACATTTTACGCACATAAAACAGAGAACACGTAATCGAGAGTTCCTTTCACAGATGCATCTCGAGCGCGGTAAATCGACGCGGATAATCTACGCCAACAAAGTCCTATACAAGTACCAAAGGAGCCGACACCGAAGAGAGGAAAGATGGAAGTTGACGGAAGTTCACCGTAATACTAATTGGAGGTTATTACAGTGCTTTGCTTGATCACGTAGTCAGCCCGCCGAAATGGCGTTCGATTCAAACTTATTGTTCGTAACATATCTGATTAATTATATTTTACACACATTTTTGCATTTTGATGTTTTAATAAATAAGACAAAGTAAATTATCAGACAGTTAATAACAACTAACTATTTAAGAGTTATCTCTGGAAAGACATTTTCTTATCAGGGAAGATTTGATGTCAGATTTAATTACACTTATTTAATTATTACTTTATATTCAATTATATATTTCATTATAATAATTATACATAGTGTTTTTTATTGTTATAGTTCTTATTGTTGTCTCTACGTATAAGTCTTATTGTGACCTTTAAAAAAAATTCTATTGAAAAGAATAATTTGCAATTTTATATCATCATAATTATGCTGAAACCCTCTTTTTAATAAAAATTAAATTACTGTATCGTTTATAATTTATTATAATTATTTATAAAATAATTTTTTAATAATAAAGATTCCATACAAGAATGTCGACGTTCATCCCCACCATTCACACTAATGCTCGACGAGAGACGCGAATGATAATTCTTTTATTTCAACGCACGTATTCGAAATGGATGGACGCATTGTTTCGTTCATTATCCTTTTACTTTGCTTATTAACAAATGCCAGAGATGCGAATGTGATTAGACGAAAGAGAATTGTCGGCGGTGCACCGGCAGCGCAGCCTCCCGAGGATGATCCAGTAGTTTTTGTGAATAAAAACGATCGATATGCACATATTACCGGCATCCGCGATCCTGAAAAGGGATTCTATGTTTTTCGTGGAATCAGATTTGGACAGCCACCAACCGGTCGAGCTAGATTCCAGGTACATTAAGTATAATAATAACAATAATAATCAATACATTATAAATATATCACTATGATATATTTAAAAATCTTTATGGACATTTTCTTATCTGTATGTATTATATGTATGTATAATAAAATATTAATTACACAATTAATTTAAATTTTAAATCGATTCGATCGATATTTTATTGGATCTATAAGAAATTAGATTAAAGATTTAATAACACGATTTATTGGATTAATATTTTTTAATATATAACACTAGCGAATCCATGCGTTAACTATGTTAAGAACTTAATTAAACCATTGTAAACTGTGGCATTAAAAAACTATCATAATATATGCGATAATTAAATTCATTGACCTGTGGAGTAAACGTGTATGTCGCTTTAACATGCGATCTCGAATAATAATAGCTGTCTTCCACGTAGGCACAAAAGACCATGTTCTTTTTTGTAATATTTTTTATGCTATTATTAATCGATAACGCAATCGAGCAGAACGGAACATTATTTTATCTCTCAGTATATCCTGTCACAAAGGCTCAATTTAATAAACTTGATATACGTTATCAATTCTGCCCAAAAAATAAAAGGAAGCGTTGAAAAAAGCTTATTGCAGAAAACAATATTATTTAACAAATATTAATTAATCCTACATATAACAATTTGGCATATTAATCAAACATAACTATTTTTTAGATATACATATTTCTTTTATATACTCATATAGAAATACAAATTAATTAACGTTAAATAATTTTATAACACACACACACACACACACACACACACACACAAAATCGCTATTAATATACTAACCATATTTGACTTTTCTGATGCTTTAAAGTTTCATGAAAAAAATAATGAAACTATCATTAAATTAATATCTTCTTTCTTAATAAGAAAATAATTTTTTTAGCGAGCTTCGCCTGTGTATCTCGAAGGAGAATACAACGCCACTACGTGGGGACCTCCTTGTCCTCAGCCCAGCCACAATGAAACCGATAAAATTATCGGAAGTGAAGATTGCCTCTTTCTCAATGTCTTCACCCCGTCGCTTCCAGATATCAGCGGCGGTTATCCTGTACTGATATGGATTCACGGGGGTGGTTTTAGAAGAGGTGCGGCGTGTCAATACGAAATGAGACACTTGATTAAAAAGGAATTGGTTGTCGTATCTATCCAGTATAGATTGGGAACATTAGGTAATTAAAACGTGCTGAAAAAAAAGTATAACTGAGGCAACATACATATCTAAAAAAACATCATAAATACATTATAAAGACGTATTTTGAGACATAAATGTCTATAAGATATTTAAAAAAC